CGGCACCATGGCGGGGGATAGAATGGGAAGATGAGCATGTTGATCCATGTTGGGTTAAGAATGTGAAGTTGGTAACCATGAATTCCTCCATTTCCCAACTAAAATCTAAAAAACATATATCTTGACATGATTTTTCCTATAGAGACTGCCATTCAGAGTGGTTTGGAAGACCTCTGTTTGAACTCTGCGTTTCTCAGGGTCTCTGTTACTTGAGGGATGGTAAATTGAATTCAACAGAGAAACTAACCCCCTTTGTGGGGCAATTTATCAACAAGAAACGTTGATTTAAGCTAGACCCATGGACAATGCTTTGGGATTTGATCAACAGAAAATGGGGATTCAAACTGCAAAAAGGAAATTTTATCAAAAGAACATGGGGGTTTAAGCTGCACAAAATGGGTGGTTGAAGCTACTTCAATCAAAAGAAATAGGGAATTTTATCAGAAATTGGAGGAGATTATATAAACTGTAGAAATGGGAATGCTTCAGATCAAGAGAAACGGGGGAAGCTGTAAACTGTAAACAATGGAACTTAAACTCCAAAAACCAGGATTTCACCTGACAAAAACAGGGATTGAGCTCGAAAAACAAGTGATTAGCTAGTCTACACAACCACGCAAATATGGGAACTTGACCAACGCACATGAATTTCAACTTCCATCGTCGCAGATGTAGCAGAGAAACTGCTAGGAATGTTGGAGATATTTTGTTGCCGCACCTTGGAGGTTCACCCCAGGAATTCCAAGTAGTTGAAATTTTATTCTTAATCTGGAGTGTAAGTCACTGTAAGTCCCCTAAATAGTTATATTATCCCATTGATATCTTGGGAAGCTCATTTTTTAGTGACTCCATCGATCTCCATCCACCTCCATCCCTCTTGGCCCCAAGGGCGCCGCGGACATTTCCTTCGTCACGGGGTTGCCTTGGGAGGCCAAGCGCGCCAGCAGCCGTGAGGAGCGCTCGCGGCCCAGCAGCAGAGAGGCGCGCAGCAATGATGCCCCACCAGTGGAGACGGTGGAGACCCTCAAAACGCGAAGCTCACGATCCAGGTGAAATGGGATGGGATGGTGAGATTTTTGACATTTTTTGGAATGTTTTATAGGGTTGACTTTCTCAACTTTCTGATGAATGATGGAAAAGGTGAATCCCTTTTCCCACTGACCCCGGGCAGGTCCCCAGAGGCTCCAAAGGAGCAGTACCTGGATAGTGGCCTTGATGGTGATGCTGGACAGACTACTGGAGCGTTTTCACCGGGGATGCCAGCACAGAAGGAAACTGTGACCTTTGTGGTTGATCAACAGCAGGACTTCAGAGTTTGGGTGCAACAGGATTTGCCGACACATCCTTTGCCACAAAATACCACAGTGTATCCTGGCACGATTCAGTACGACTGAGTCGAGATCTTGAGCCATTTTCTTGAGGCAGCCTGGAACAGGAGTGCCTTGAGCCGTA